TGTGGCACGTCATGGCAGTTTGCGCGGGCTTTCGCCTTTTGATCTAGCTTGCCAATGGGTGGATGAAGAAGTCCTGCGGGCGTTCCGCCTCTATGGCTACGAAGTCCCTCGTGCTGCAGGCGTATACCCACCGCTACTAACGGTGCGTTTTGCCCTTAGCGGCCGCGTAATTGGACATAGCGAGGCCGGGGAGGACCATGCCAGCCTTATTCTGCATTGTCTGCAATGGCCTATGGCCGGTCTGGTAGCCCACGAGTCGGAAGACGAAGTCTCCATCATCTACAGGTTCAGCCGGCCTTCACAGGCCCTAGGCCTACGGCGTGCTCTGGCTAGTGGCAGTTTTGCCACGGCCCTGCGCACCCTGGGACTACACCCTTGCTTGTTGGAACTGCCTGAACCTACGGTCTGGGGCGAATTTGGCCTTCCCATCTACTATGCTCTCAGTCGTCAGCTCGGCGGAGCTCTGGCAACCCTGCTACTTGCACGGGCCTCGCCCAATGTTCAGGCTTTGAGCTCCCGCGCTCGTCAGACTGTCCCTTTGCAGTATGCCATCCGCCTTGGCTCCTCTGCAGCAGTGGTCCAGCTACTTGAAGCGCTAGCCGACGTCCATGCACTTCACAGGGGAGCACGGGCCATCCCCCTTGCGGACTGCTGCGGCGCTGCGTAGTGCCCCGCTTGTGGCTCTGCTTTTGGAGTACGGAGCCGGCTTGGGAATGCGGTTGAGTGATTTGCAGCCTTTAGTAGCTAGTTCGTTTTACCGCTCTGGTTATGGACGTGATACATGCCGCGTGGCCGCCCTTCTTTTGCGTTGTGTGGATATGGTCCCGCACCACGAGGCGATACTTCTGGCTTCTGAGGTGGTTCCCCAGCTCCTCGCTGACGGTAATTGGTTTGCTTTATTCTGCATCCAATGCTGGGTTCAACGGCATCCGGACTGCCTCTGATAGTGTCACAAGTCGAGGGTGCACATTCATGTGGTAATTTGGCGCATACCCAAAGTGGTCCGTGTTCTTCAAAACAATTTTGCTTTGCCTCTGTGGCGCGCTTTCACGCTCATACCCCAGTTTAGCACGGGCCGCCTCTTCATTCTTGGAATGACTCTCTTCCTGCTGCAGCGGTTTCTCGGCTCGACATTCTATAGGTAGCGGCCAGTGGCAGGGGGAGGGGTGGGGGGGCGGTGCCGGGTCGCGGGCGAGTGCGGAACTTGCCGGCACCTCAGCGTCTGCACTTACTGTAACTTGGTTCAGTCGGCACCTCGTTGACTGATCGATAGACAGCAAGCAGAGCCTAGTTTCTGTCATCTCAGTTCTATGGCGCCCCGGCACGCGGCCAAACCTGGCGCACCGATTGGTGGACGAACTCGCTGCAAGCCGGGTAAACCCAGTCCATCGGGCAGCGTCGGTTTTGAAGCTGGTAGGCTTAGCAGCCGCGGGTAGATGCAGTGAAAGCGCCTAGACGACACTGATAGCCGTTAACAGTCAATGGTAGAGCTTAACAGCGTATGTTTTGGAGCTGGTCGGGTTTAGCAGCGTGGCAAGGCCGCTGGTACATAGAAGCGAATGATGTGCACTATCAGCGATCACCATATATCATATACGTTGAGAGTCGGAGGAGCATGTTGCTCCTGCATATATATATATATATGTATTTTTCCCATATATATATTGACGTGTGCATATGGCAGGAAGCATGCATGTGCAGGTTGCGAGCAAGGGTTCGTGTCGATCGCGATCGTTGGCTCTATTTTTTTTTGTTGCCCTGCCTGCCCATTGCAATGGCTGATGTGGAAATGGAAGACGTCACGGACAACGAATGGGGGTGGACCGAATGGTCCGACTGGACCTACTGGACCGACTGGAACGACCGACTGGAACGACGGGACACCCGAAGCTAGCAAGTGGATCGACTGGAACGACGGGAGGGCCCAAGCTAGCAAGCAGTGGCAGGGGTACAGCGACTGGAGATCCCAACCTAGCCTGCAGTGGCCAGGGTGCACAAGAGGTCAAGTCCAGACATGGTTCGCGAAGCGAGCTCGCAGCTAGGTAGCATGTTTAGTTTTTGTTTTAATCCATTGTTTTCTAGGTATAGCTGGTACCATGTATAGTTTTTTTTTTAAATTGTGTTTTGAGCTAGGAAAGTATAGATTCGTATAAGTGCAGGCTGGCACTTGCGATTGCAGAAGAAGGCGGCGAAGTTTCGGCCACAGCGATGCATGGTAACGAAGTTTCGCCCCCGTAGTCGACTGCCGTAATTCATGCATGCATAGCAATTGTTAATTTTACCTGGAATAGCTAGGTCGGATTCCTGCAGGCGAGACTGCCTGCATGTGCCTTGGTCGAGTCGTGGCAGCTGAAATGCAGTTTGCGTGTGCGAGGGATCTGTGCCTTTGTCGCGAGAGGCACGCAGCTTGCATGTGCAGTGAAGGAAGCTATTCGTGCTCTTGGTCCGGCCTAGGGCATATGCTCCTGCAGGTGTCGTAGCTGGGTTCGTAGGCCATGACCTCCACGGGCGAGAAGGTCTATCATGCCATGTGCAACACCCTGGATCCCATGTTCCTCAAGCAGGTCATGGATCAGAATCCTGACATGGAGCAGCGGGGTCTCTTCGGTTGGTCAGGCATGCAGATGGATGGCGTCTGCGAACTTCGCAAAGAATTCTTGAAACAATTGTTCAAGATATCCAAACAAATCGTTCCTGCCGATCTCAAGCATGCTTTGGTGAGGCTCGACAATTTTCATGCAAATAGACTCCTTCGGTCAGCTCCAAACGGGTGGCGAACACTTCGGCAAGAGGCCCAAGGAATCACCAACATGATGAGCCATGTAGTAAACCGCAAGAGAAGAAACAGCGTGGACTGTTCAAGACTTCCTGCATGGATGGAGGAATTGGTCCAGCAAAGCTCAGGTTCACCGTCGAGGCCGGAACCGTCCACAGCACCGGCTCCGTGCAAGAAGGCGTCCATGATCTCCGACAAGGGCGACTTGAGCAAGGAATCCATCTTGGCAGCTTTTGGTTTTGATGAATCCCAGATCGTCGCGATCGATGGGGACAACATCGTAGAGGTTTCGAGCGAGGATGGCCAGCCTGGCAAAGGAGCAACCTGCTCCTCGAATCCTACTGCAGGAGCAGCGAGCTCTTCGAAGCCTTGGACTGATTTCTCGGAATGGAAGGCAGTCCGGATGCAGGCCGACGGCACCTTGGAGGAGCACGTGGACCTGTTTCAAAAGGACTCGGAGCCCTTCTACTTCGCGGCCTTCGCAGACGGCACGGAGTACCTCACGGAGCTCCCTGTTGGCACCAAGGATCCGCCCCCGGTCAATAAGAAGCCCAAGGCCAAGGCTAAGCCTAAGAAGGCTGCCATGAAGAAGCCCGCGTCGAAAAATCAGTCTCCGAAGAAGAAGCCAGCCTCGAAAGTTCAACCCGAAGCGGAGGCCCCAGATCCGCTTGCCGATGTGGAAGCGAAGACTTCGGCAGAGGTCGAGATCGATGAGCCGAAGGCCAAATCGAAGCCCAAGGCCGTTGCAAAGAAAAAGTCCGAGAAAAAGTCAGAGAAGCCGAGTCTGAGCTGCACGGTGAACTCGAAGTGGAGCATCATGTACTACAAGTTTCCAAAGAATGCCTACGGCATCCGTGAGAAGGGCAAGTCCCGGTTGTTTCAAATACTTTGCCGTGATAAAGATCCGTTGACAGTGAGGTCGCAGATCGTGCACCTGGGTATCCCCAAGCTCGAATCGGGCACAGACCCGACCGAGGTCAAGGAACTTTTGTTGAAGTCTGTGCACAAAGCTTAAGCTGCATGCGTGGGTGTTTGGAGAGCGGTTTCCAAACGGAGATGCCTTGGGAGTTGCATCTGTAGCCTATGCTAGCTGTTTTAAGCGGCCAGATTTTTGTCTGGAGTGTGCAATCGTCGGACGATCCGGGCCTCCAAAAGTTGCTGCCAGAGTGCCCAGCCATGCTATTTTTGCGATCTAGGCTGTCATGCATGATTGAGGTGAAGAGGAGCTGCAGTGTGCATATTTATCGAACCCTAATATATATATATATATATGCATGTTTCTACATTTTACTTATAATTTATATATATATATATATATATATGCTTAAACCCCAAACCCAAAACCTTGAATCTACTCGGCCAGGTACTATCGTCGGTGGCTTCGAGGATCCCGGACAGGTGCGTTTGCGTGGGCGGCTTCCGTTGCAGAGTATATCTAAGAGACCAGGTTAAATGTGTGCACGGGACATGCATGTGTGTGTACACATGCACATGTATACATACATGCATGCATGCATGCTTGCGGCCCAGGTTCTGGATCCGGCTCCGATGCTTCTGCAGTGCAGGGTTTAGGGTTTTAGGGTTCAGGGTTTAGGGGTTTAGGGGTTTAGGGTTTAGGGGTTTAGGGGTTTAGGGAAGTTTAGGGTTTAATAGGGGTTTAGGATTTAGGGGTTTAGGGGTTAAATTTAAGGTTTAGGGATTAGGGTTTAGGGGTTTAGGGTTTTAGGGTTTAGGGTTTAGGATTTAAGGGTTATAAAACAGAAGCATAATTTCGCGATAATCCTCGACCCCGAGGCGTGAGATCCTCATCGCTCGGCTTTGGGATGATGTGCTTCCGAGGGTTCTTTTTTAATTATATTGTGGTGTATAATCTTAAGGAGCTCAGAAGCTCCTAATGTATACGATCGTAGCATGCATGCATGATGTAAAGACCGAAACCCCGACTTAAGAGCTCTGCGTGCAGGAGCTTCGTGCTCCTGAATTAAAAAGCTATAATATTTATGCTCCATATATGTGCCCAGGCCGCTGCCGGGTTGGCATCGGTGCAGATCTGCACTGCAAGGACGATCGAGCTGCATGTCTGATGTGCAAACACGTGCAGAGGTCGTTGCATGCGTGGCATTGTATCTAGAATGAAGGTGCATGCATGTCGTACGATTGCAAGCACTTGGCCCGAGACGACCAAAGCTATTAGCCCTCCCTTCGAACCAACATCCTCGGATCCATGGGGAACGACCTTGGTAAGGCATTGCAAGGAGCCGCTGATGCCGTCAACAGCAGCTCAGGACAGCAAGGCCAGCAAGGCCAATTGCCGTTCCCGAATGCATGGCCGATCGGCGTGAACCCTGCATTCCCGCCCCCAGCACCAGCACCACCCCAGCAGCAGTGGGATCCAAATGCCCAGTGGTCCACTACGAAGGGCCAGACAAACTGGGATCCCAATGCCCAGAACAAGAAGCAATCATGGGCGAAGAAAACGTGGGATGACAAGTCATGGCAGGGCTACAAGAAGGGCGGCTCCAATGAGGGCGGGTCCAATGATCACGGCTCGGGATCTGGTGGATCTGGCGGCAGCAGCGAGTACCTGCGAGCATGTAAGGCCTGCGGTCGAGCAGGTTATCTTCGGAATGGCCTATGCCTGAACGAAGAATGCGTGGCTGGGACAGCAAGCAGTATAGAGGCTACGACTATATATATATATATTAATATAGGAGCTAGTAACTTAAGCTCCTGAAATTAACATTTAAGGCCAAAATCACCAAACCCCCAAACCCTAAACCCCGAACCCTAAAATACATGAACCCTGGGATCCGAGGTGTAATCTTTCCTAGACGAAAAACAGAAAGCCTGCCACAATACAATTCCAGTCAGCTAGCATGTATATTTATTGGAATGAATTAAAATCATGCACCTATAGACGGACCCTGACATATATAGTTTTACCGACAATATTATATATATATATATATATACATATAAATTTCGTTGTCTTTATCAATCTACTCAATATCTTTCTGTCGTTCGAAGCTTTCTGTCGTTCGAAGCATTAATATATATAGCACCGAACCATTAAAATTAACCCAAAGTCTCGCGAACTTAGGCCTTGAGCATCTGGGGGCAGGAGACGGCAAGTGTCGGAAAGCGGCTCCACGCATGGGGCAACAAAGAGAGCGTGGAGGATCTTGGAAAAAAGGTGCATGGTGCCAGGACGAGACCTACCACCAGGGGAACCAAAGGCCAGAGGCACCGCTCGTGGTGGATGCAGAAATCGCCGGAAGAACAACGGATGATCAAAATCGAACAGTTCGAGAAGAAGAGGAAGGAGATGCCCGGCGTGATCGATCTGCTGGCGGAGGAGGAGGAGGAGGAGGAGGAGGAAGAGACGGAGGAGGAGCCGCCACTCGACAATGGCCACCCGGATAAAAAGCGTCGCTTCGAGGATGACGATCATAAGGACAATGATGGTTCCGGCGATGGCGATGCTAAGCTGGGGCCCGTACCCCTGCCTGCGGGCAGTTGGGTGCTGTAGATCATGTTTCAGTGTTCGAACAGGATGATCCGAGCAGGCAGTTTCAAGAAAAGAACCGGTGCAGATTTGCACTGCGAGTGCATGGGATGTCCTTGCACTAGTGCATGTTTGCACTGCTTAAGATCGTGGTCTGCAAAACTTCAAGAACCCTGTGTTCAGGAGCCGTCGGCATGGACCCAGAGAGGCCGGATATGTTTGGGGCTGGGTGTCCGGGCTAAGGGCCTGGAGCAGGGTTTCTTACATTTCAGCATGCAGTGCATGTGTTCTCTTGCACTGATCGATGGACATGTGCAGTTCTCTGCAGTTGCT